CAACAGTGTGTTGAACCTGAAGGTTGTTGATTCCTTAATGATTTTCTAAGTCGTTTAAAAAATATAGTTACAAGACACAGCCTGATGAAAATGGTTGAATATTAAAGTTATTATTGTAATGAACTCATTATTGTAATAGTGAGTTCAGAAATGGGTTTCCAAACCCAACTCTATAAGTTTTTTTTCTTTTTTAAATGTCTCTCTTTTCCTCATTCAAAAAGATTGTCAATATTCTTTTTCTGTGATTTTTATTGCAGTGAAGATTGACAAGTTGCCCTTTCAGTTCTATAAATATTTAATGAAGAATATAATTATTCTATGCAGATATAAATATTCCCAGTAAATGAATATTGAATAACATGTACATGAGGATATGGGAGGAAACTAGAATTTCTTTGAAAGATTTCACCCAATTGAATGAATGAAATAAATTATTCCATTATTATATTATTTGTAAGGTATATTTTTGGTACAATAGGATTATATATCTTTTTAATTCAGTCTTTGTGGGAAAAAATGTGCTCAGATGGACTGTAATGATTTAAGAGCTATGAAGAATTATACTTGAATAATGGATTAAAATAATGAGTTGTAGTGTTTTGGATACTGTGGTACTTTCTAGAATGTAGAATAATATTCATCATGCATCTGAAATTAATCTTCATGTTCTAAGAGAAATTTATCTCAGATCACTACTGCATTAGATGGATGAAATAATTCTGAGTTTCTGTTTAAAAGTAGCCAGATATCTTAATTTAGCATCATTCTCTTAACTTGGCATTAGTCTCCTGGCATTAGTCTAGAATGTAAGAAATTCAGAAAAAAATAACTTTTTGCTCTTGACACTTGGATTTGAAGAGAACTTTTTTCATATTACGAATTGTCAGAATGTGCTACTAATGACTCAAATTAATTTTTTAGAGGTACATTTCTTACTTGGTGAAACTCTTTAGGGGAAAAAACGCCTGATGTGGAAAAAATAATGTTTGGTTTTTCTTAGCTATTATGATGGGAAATAGTTTATTCTGAGGCACCATTCCATAGCAATATTCACTGAGTATATACCCCATGGGGTAAGGATTTTTTTTTAAGCCAGCAACCTCTCTTCTGTCCCAGACCCTTGACGTAATTCTTTACTATTTGCTCTTTGATTCATGGACACTACCAAATGGTTCTATATGAAGTTGAATTATTGTAACATTGGTAGGAAGTAGTTGTTTTTTTTTTTTGCAAAAATCCTCACAAAAAATTACCAGTATTTGATGAGTACTCTTGATTAGTGCAAGGGTTGAAAAAATTGTGTACATATGTTATTTTAATAAATATTCTAAATAAAAAGTATTATTAGAATAAGATTTATGTATTGAATGAATGCTTTATGTGTTAATATGCCTGGCAGATTTGTATTATGATTCACCTACTTGAGCTGCTGAAAGGAGTTGATGTGTGAAGAAAAATTAAGTACTAATTTCAGTTACTAATGCTGTTAGAAAGGAAAACAGAATAAAAAGAGAAGGACAAAGTAGGCTGAGTAGAACCTAGGCTACTTTGGTCAGTATTGACACTCATAGTGGTATGTAGAGTGTCTTAATCAGATAAATGAGCAAGTATGGAGTATCTGGACAAAGTGCAGAAATAAAACCAAATTATGTGGGTGTGTATATGTACGTATGTATGTATGAATGCAATTTGAGGGGTTTACTGCCTCAGAGAAGAACAAAAGGGCAGAACCAAAGGTGACTAATTCATATTCTTAAATCTGTGTCAAGCTAATGGAATAATGTGATAGATACTGTGCAGTTTATGTAAACTGTGTGTGGTATACACCCCAAGATTTTGCTTCCACTATATTAAAAATAATTATTGGGCTTGAATGAACTGAATGGGCATGATGGTGGGAGTGGGAAAAAAATGAGAAAGTTGTGAATCCCTAAGCAAGACTTTCTGGTCTTACCACTAACCTTTGATCTGTTGTAATAATGAGAGCAGAATGTTACTTGTGGCAAGGTTGTGGTGAAGGGAATATTCAACAGGCTCTCTTCTTTGGGCCCTAGTTACTCTAAGACTATTGTTTCTATCATTGTCCTGTAGGTATTATTAAGACCGAACAAAGGAACTTGACATTCACTTTTTGCTCATAAATGTGCCTAAAACTTTGTTTGAATTAGTAATTTGCATGCATGTTGAATTTTGAAACAAACAATTAAACTGTTTTAATAACTTATTTTCTATTATGATTAAAAGTATTTTAAGATTGATTTCCTCTGCTGTATGTGTAATTTGTCAATTTGAGTCATAAGACCTCTTGTTTTAGTTGTGGTCTTCAGTGGTACATTGAAAAGTGTCAAATTTAGCTTGACATCACCATATCAGAAACATATATAATGTGATACATAATTTGCGTACACACAAGAAGTTATTCTTAGCATAGTATAATTAATTTTCGTTCTCTTTAAGTGGTGGGATACATGTTGTTTAAGTGATAGAAATCATTTGTCTGTTTCTTGTTATCTATGCTGGAGAGATGACTATTATGTGCACAAGAGATACTGTATGTAACATACTTTAAGTTATGTTCAGTTGTGTTCTCTATATGATAATTCTCCAAAATGTTTTCAAATTTCCATTGACTGTGTGCTGAAGATGAGAGATAAAACATATTTCCTTATTTATGCTTTAGATTTCTTATTACTTATTTATGAACTATTTAGCAAAAATTACTTGAAGTCAGATTCATTTATAGAAATTATTAAAAGCCCTTCAAGAATCAAAAGAAGAAATATAAGAATGAAAAGGACTAACAGAAATTGAGCACATTTGTGCTACTCATTGTGTCAATGCTGATTGTTGAGGGGGAGAAGGTGTAGATGGATACATCTTTTTTTTTTAACTTGCAAAAGCTCTTAAAAATTTTTAGTACATCATAGATATGTGATATGTAAGTCAGTTAGAGAAAGAATTGTTTAATTCATGGAAGAATTGGCCATCTCCGAGTATTAGAAATATTATTCATGATGCAGGATATTAGTAATTATACTCAAATAGGGGAAGTTTATATTCTTTGAGAACTTTCCCAATATGACAGTAATGTTATTAGTCTCTTTTGTTTTTCTTTTTGGAACTCAGAATGTGTTTTTGATTACTTCAGTGATGTCAAGATTTTGAAAAATACATTACCAAGTAATAACCTCTTGAGATTTACAAGAAAGGATGATTCAAGAAAATAGAAAAGATCTTAATCTAAATTCTGGATAAATTATATTATGTATGAGGAATACTTCTTGTCAGTATTATTGGTGTTTTTTTAAACTGTGGTAAAATAAACTTAACATAAAATTTACCATCTTAACCAATTCAAAGTGTACAGTTCAGTAATATTAAGTATATAGGCACTGTTGCAACCAATCCCAAGAGTTTTTATCTTGCAGAACTGCTGTTCTAAACCCATCAAACAATATCTCCCTATTTTCCTCTCCCTGCAGCCTCTGGCAACCACCATTCTTTCTGTTTCTATGGTTTTAGAATACTCTAGTAATCTCATATAAGTGAAATCATACAATATTTGTGTTTTTATGACTGGCTTATTTTACTTAGCCTCAAGGGGGTTCATCCACGTTCTAGCATGTGTTAGAATTCCCTCCTTTTTAAGGCTGAATAATATTCTATTACATATATATATTGTATATATATATATATATATATATATACATATATATATATATAAAGACACACACACATACACACACATAGCACATTTTGTTTGCTTATTCATCCATTGATGGGCACTGAGTTGCTTCTACCTTTTGGCTGTTGTGAGTAATGCTGCTGTGAACATGGGTGTGCAAATATTCTTTGAGACCCTGCTTCTAGTTCTTTTGGATATATACACAAAAGCAGAATTGCTGTATCAAATGGTAATTCTATTTTTAAGTTTTTGAAGAACTGCCATACTGTTTTCCATAGTGATTGCACCATATTAGATTCCTGCCAGCAATGCACAAGGATTCCAGTTTCTTCACTTCCTCAGCAACACTCATTATTTTCTCTCTCTTTTTTAATGTATTAGCCATCCTAATGAGTGTGAGGTGATATGTTCTTGGTATTTTTAATTGAAATT